AAAAATTTTAAGGTCAGATACACTGTAAAGATTTAAACTACTGACCAGATGAAGGAAGAGTGTTGCCGCAAGGAAAGCGGTCGTCCGGCCGGCCAGAGCCTCGCGCTGCCTCAGCAGCTGCCTCACCTCGGCGCCTCCGCCGCGCGCCTGCTCCGCCCACCGGGTTCGCCTGCACCCTGGCGCTCTGCGGGTCACCAGCGGCCTGCGGAGGCGGCCCGGCCGCGTTCTTCTCACGTTGCCCTAACCTGGGTCTCTGGACGCCGCGCAAGCGCCCCGCGTCCTCAGTTTCCGGCTGCTTCCCGCCCGCACCTCAACGTGGAAGCTCGCGAGACCAGGCCACGCGCGGGGCACGCTGGGAACGCGGGAGCCTTCTTTTGGTTAGGAGAGCATGCGCGGGGCACGCTGGGAGCCGGGGAGCGCCCCTCTCACCCGTTGGGGGGGTGTGCAGGGCACGCTGGGAGCCGAGACCTTACAGGCTGACCCGGAAGGACTGATGCAGCCTTCCACCAGCTTCCCTAGCAACCGGGCGGTTTTGTGCAGCAACCGGCCGCTGTCCCGCGGCGTGGCAGCGATGCCGCTGCAGCTCAGGGATTACAGCTGGCAGCAGACTCCGTCTACAGTCTTCCTCTCTCTGCCCCTGCGTGGCGTCTGCGCCAGAGATGCGGACGTGTTCTGCACCGAGAATTACCTGAAGGTAGGAGCTGGAGTCTGCGTCCGAGGCGCGCTCCCCGGAGTCCACCGCGGCCGGTCTTTGCAGACGACCGTCCGCACGTTTTAATCCGACTTTGAAACACGGGTTCCCGTCCCCAGCGAACTGAAGGCATGTTTCAGTGACGCGTGCTCCCCCGTGCTGATAGTGCCGCGATTCATAGCAGTTAAATCTCGGGAGCAGGCGAGGTGGCCTCGACGGACGAACGGATATGGAAAACGTGTCGCCCATGCGTGATGGGACATTGCTCGGCTATAAAGAAAGATAAATCCGAGCCATTTCGTAAGAAAATGGGTGCACCTTGCAAACATAAGGCTAAGGGAAATAAGTCAGACACACGAGCTTAAACCCATATGATTTTTCTCATTTGTGTTATCCTTAGTACGAATAAAGACCAAATAACTGGGAGAGTCACATGGAGAGAAAAAACATTTTCTCAAGCTTTCACAGAGAGCAAATGGCCAAGCAATGGCCGTGATTCATCCTCATGACTTGACAGTTTTGTGCAAAAGGATGTACACAGGGCGGTACAGGGCTGCAGGATAAATCCTGAGGGTACTTGACTGACCTTATCAGATACAAAAGTTACATTTCTTGGTATACAGGTCTTGCTATATCTTGGTCTTAACCATCCAACAGAAAAGTATAAAAAACGAGGTATATAAAGTAAATCCATATTAATATGCTGAGCTGTAAAAGGCTCAAATGAATAACTTCTGAGGATGACCCACTAATATTATAGACTGCTAGCCAGTGTTAGATTGTTTAGTTGAATTCAAACACCTATAGTATTTAGATGCCAACAGAATATTCACCGCTGACAGGACAAAAAAAATAAAATAAAATAAAATTTTTTTAAAAAGAGATACAAAGGAAAGATCATTTTGTATTTATATATACAAAATAGGTAGGATAAATTTACAGCTACTTTCGCTTAACTCAATGAGAAGAAAGAGGTGTACTAACAGTGTTTGGACAGAATATCCTGTCTGCTTCTTGTACTATGGATAACCA